AATTTAAGTTATAACAATATATTACAAGTAAAAATAAAAACAAATATTTTATAATTTTGATTTTTATTACAAACGTAAAACTTCCCTAAAAATACTCCACTTCCTATTAAAAATTAACACTAATAAGTGTAAGATACACACTATTTAGTGATATTTTGTCAATTAATAGAGTAAAATTAGAGCGAATTTTTAATAATTTACACTGATTAGATTAGAAATGTATCTAATTAGAGTCACGACAACATCTAGTTAGATTACATATAATACACTGTTATAGAGTAACGATTTTACACTATTTAATAAACACCATCTTCTCACTATTTAGTGTAAATTTTTAATCTATTCGCCTACACTATATAGTGCAAAAAAATAACTCTAAATAAATTGGACCGATCTGAACCATGTTTTAGAGTTGATTTTTACTCCATATTTTTTCCTGTGTACAACATCATATAGTGTCTTGGATGCATATGTTCCAAAAACCAACGGAAAACACATAAAAACTAAATATCCTTTGCGGTACTCCTCCACCTTAAAACGAATGCATAAACAAAAAACCATTACCACAAATTATCTAGACGAACCGATAACTCCTTTTATCGAATAAGATATGTCCGTCTCCGCCGGAACTGTAAAACACATATGCGTCAGGACCGTACAGAATACGTAAGATCTTTGGAGCAAAAAATAAAGAAAGACCCAAAGAGTTTTTGGAGATTTGTTAATGAGACCAGAAACAGTGCTGTCTCATCAAATATTCTCAAACACGATGGTCAAAATTTTTTCCGATCTGCAGACTGTGATTAATTTGTTCGCCGATCATTTTGAGAGTATGTATCTTCCGGCTCCTGTTGTCAGTCCTAACGGTGCCCAAGTTGCTGATGGATGGGATGACGTTTCTTTCGGCATCTCAGAAGCAAGTTCTGATGAGATGGTGGAAGCTTTTAAAAAATTTAAGGCAAAAACTACGACTGGTCCAGATGGTATCTCCGCATATACTTATAGTTAAAGACTGTGCGCCTGTATTATTACAGCCCCTTCAGCATATTTTCAACTTAATAATCAGATATTATCATATCATATTGACAATGAAGTCTGGTAAATAACGTGCTTTTGCTGTTTACAGCTTTTTTAGAAAATGGCCAAAGTTATGTGTAGGCACAAAAATAAATTTCCGTCGACATTTTCATTTACCGCCTCATGCACTTGTTCCAAGTAGAAACGCCATTTCATTTAGACTCTTAACTCAAAAACAATTAACCAAACAATAAGGAAAAAAGACAGTAATGCAAGACCTATTGGGACTTCAGAGAATGTAGAGACTGTACGAGTAGCGATTGTAAGAAGTTCTCAAAGATCTCTAAGGTTCATAGCGTTGCTCTAGGACTTTCGACTAGATCAGTAAGAAGAATTTTATGTAATGATTTACACCTACATCCGTACAAGATTCAAATAGTCCATGCTTTGACACCTCGAGATTATTCTGTTCGCCTTAGTTTTTGTGAGAGCATGTTTAAAAACAACCCACAGTTCATCAGTAATTGGTGGATTAGTGATGAAGCTCATTTCGACTTCAGTGTATATGTTAATAAACATAACTTTCGAGATTGGGCCGCTGAACACCCTAATTAACTTCACGAACATCTCCATTCGGCAAAAGTATCAGTTTGGCATGTGATGACTTCAAATAGCATAATAAGCCCATACTTCTTTGAGAATGATGATGGCCATGCTGTTACCGTAAGGAAGTAACATAATCGCGATGTGTTCGAATGATTGAAACCTTTTTCATTACACAAATGCTTATGAATGAGAATACTCATTTCCAACAAGGTTGAACAACAACTAGAGAATTAAAAAATCTTAGAGAATTTTTTCCGAAGTGCCTCATCAGTAAAAATGAAAATATTCATCGCCTTGTTTATCGAAAATTTTATCTTATTAAAACGCTTTTTTTATTCCTTTATACATATATTTATTTTTGAACAGGAAAGCTTTTAAAATAAAACTATTCTAGTTACATTTAGTGCATCTAGTACAAGATAGGTTTCGCTTAGTTGTTCTTAAATCCACCGTTCAATACTTTAAGATCAAAGTTTTTATACTTCGTTTTAAAGTTTGTCTTCAGTAGGGTCATTACTGATCCACTAAAGTAAAATGATGACTTTGGGATATGATCAACATTGATTATAATCCGCTTGACGTTTGCTTATATCGCAACGGTAAACGTTCAAAATTCTGATTTGCTTTGATAACTGAAGACGTTAACATTTTTATGTGCAATATAAACATAAATATTGAATCGTTATTATTTACTGATGTTTCTAACTTTATACATATATCGTATCATAAGATGATATATTACAAAAGTTTATGTAATAGTTTTAAATAGTGCGATTTCAGTGCCTCATCTTTGACTCAATAGGAACAGATGAGAAAGAAAAAGATTTTAGATTATTCAAGCAAAAAAAGAAATAATAGGCTACTTAAACAGAATTCCGTGAACTACGAACATAACGAAAAAATTGAAATTTGATATTTATAACATACTGATCAAGAGTCACTTACTATAGGTATGTATCGGAGACATGGAGACTAACAACTCGAAATAAGAATCGCATAGAGGCAACTGAAATGGATGCCCTGGAAGAGTAAGAAATGAAGTGATACGAAAACAAATAGGATTAGAAGGGATAATAATGAAAGATATTGAGAGAAATCATGGTCATGTACGTATGGGGGAGAACAGATGGCCAAAAAAGCAATGCAGTGGATACCACAGCAAAGATGAGCGAGAGGAAGAGGTGAGAAGAAGGAGTTAGGAATGGAATTCCAATGATCCAATGATCGAAAAGGAATTTCAATAAAAGCGAGTGGCAGGATCGGAATCTCAATGTTTACAGTTGATGTTGTGTTGTTGCACAGATCTGTTCATACAACCTACAATCTTTTAAAGCCATTTTGGTCGATCATCCCGAGGTTACCACAGGCGGTTGTGTTCGAGAACCTATTTTCTTCTTCTGCTTTTCGATGTACCAGCATCTAGAAGAATAACTCCTCAAAGAACAACTGAATCCGAGGTAATAGGTGAGAAAGAAGAAAACATTCTACAATAACTAATAAATAGAGTGGTTGAAGAGAATTTACTGAATTCATTTAAAATTTAATTATAATAATAAGAATTAAAATTAATTTTTTTTTTGAATATAGTGAGAGTAAAGATAAAATTTTTCTTAATGGTTATTTAATACAATAAATGTATTTTTGAAACGTTTAGAATGTAAAATAAATTTCGGTTGGGATAGGCGTCTGTATGTGGGCGTTATAAAATATAATTGATTTTAACCAGACTTTTTTTAAATTAATGGTATATGAACTAAAATGTATAGAGCCTGTAGTTAATATAAACCTGTAAATCAGCTACAGACTTAATGTAAACCTGTCTCCACTTAAAACTTTCTAACTAGATATGTTCGTTTGTGTTAGAAGCGCAGTGGAAATATTTTAATTGAAAAAATATGTTAAAAAGTTGAAATAGTAATCGGTCGCGTTGAATTGTTAATATGTTTTCTGACGAGTTATTTATAACAAAATATTCAAAGTGGGTAACCATGTGCTCTAAACGATGTATAAATTGCGTCAGTTTAAATATTTTCTAAATAGCAGAAATATTTATTATAAATAAAGTGAAATATAACCAGTTTGCGGCAAGGGCTTTGATGTATTTTACCATATAGGTGAAGGTTGATTAATTACTCTAATAGTTAAAAATTATATTTTGTTATTAATTGTTTGTCATATATAAACCGCAAGCTATCAACTATTGATTTTAATAATTGTAGAACTCTTCATCAATATGGTTCTTAACTTTCGATATTTCGTAGTGTTTATGTTAAGTAAGTTTTTCAATACACCAACTATTACAAATTAATATTAACTATTGCGATTATTTTTTTCAGTAATTTCTGTTTCAATTTCCCAAGATACATCCGGTTATGGAGGTAATCTTATCACAACAAATAATTACAAGGATATTTCTTAACGCAATAAATATAATTTTTAGATCCAGAAACTTGGCCTGAATTGTACAAAACTTGTGGTGGAGAAAATCAATCTCCCATAGCGTTACCATTACCATGTGACGCCGATTTCAAAATAAATTTTCCACCATTTAAATTTAGCAAATCATCCTACGAAGTACCTCAAAATGTAACAGTAACAAGAGAAAGTTATACAGGTAAATAAAAAAATTCTTTCAACCATTCTTTTGTAATCAAAACTTTACTTGCAGTCAAAGTTGAATTTGCAAATTCATATAAAATTAGAGTAACAGGTTTACAAAAAGATACTTATTACGTCTTAACCCAAGTTCATTTCCATTGGGGCGATAATAATTTAATCGGAAGTGAACACTCAATGAACGGCAGTTTTTACTCAATGGAAATCCACGCAGTATTTTATAACGCTTATTATGGTAGCTTTACTGATGCCCAAACAAAACCAGATGGTTTAATGGTTTTTACTTATTTCGCAAAGGTATTGTAGCAATATTTGTATAATTTAATTTTTTTTTAATTTTTTGTTTATAATAAAAGGTTGTTCCAAAAACGTCAACTTCTCAATCAAGTACAATGGATTCAATTGCAAATGCAATTAAGTTACTTACACAAAGAGATATTACGAAGGTAAAAGTTAAAAAGCCGTTCTCTTTTGCTAAGTTTTTCCCGATTCTGCAAGATAATTACGTTGCTTACCATGGATCTTTAACAACTCCGCCTTGCTACGAAAGTGTTACCTTTATTGTTTTTGAAAAACCACTAGAAATATCCGCTGAAAATATGGCAGCATTTCGAGGATTATATGCCGTTGAACCTGGAACACGTAATAATTTTAGACTTTTACAACCGCGTAACGGTAGAAAAATTACTGGAAAATGTAAATGTACATAAATATTAAAAGAAACATTATAAATGATATTTTCTTGTATTACTTGAAATGTTCTTGTAAATTAAATGCATTAAAAGTGAGCATATTTAAAACGTTATGTTGAGTTGTAATAATTTTAAGATCAAAAAAACATTTAATTCATCCTTTTAAGTAGGTACTGTTTTAACCTGTATTTTTGTTTTAATTAATGATATCAGCAGAGTCCATAGCGAACCTTGGATATTTCTTAAAATATAAAAATTATTATGGAAGAAAAAACGAGTACTTTATTTACATATAAAAGTAACGAACCATTTTTAGGTAATCGCTTAAAACTCTAAAATTCTGACAATTCATAGTCATTTGTACGTATCTTTTAATCGCCAATTTCTACATGGACATATTTGAAGCGTTAAGGAAGAGTCCGTGGGAAGCAAAGCTTTTGCTTAGTAACGTGCATGACACCTTTGTAATCTGACAGCATGAAAAAGAATTCCTAGACCACCTGAACTGGCAATATCCCTTGATCAAATTTACCATGGAAACGGAACCTTCAAAACAGTTACCTATCCTATATATGTTTTGGACATTAGGAAGACAGATGGGGGCATGAAATTGGAAGTGTATCGGAAAAAGACACATATTAACAAATATCTACAGGCTTCCCCTCATCACCATCCACAATAGAAGAGGTCTGTTATCCAAGCTTTGTTCCAGTGAGCAGAAAGAATTTAATAGAAGGATTTCTAGAAAATGTAATTACTCCAGAGGAACCGCTACTCTCTGAAGCATATCCAGTGAGTCACTGAAGAAGGCAAGCAGGGGGAAGGCACGTTCAGTACTACGAGTACACCATCTGGTTTTATCTGTCTCTCTTATGTTGTCTGATGCAGAACGACATCGTGGTACGATACGGAACGGTCAGCTAAATTCGGAACGCTATTGCGATAGCTAAAGATAAACTAACGCCATTAAAGGGAACGGGAATCTATCGGCTATCATGCATTTGTGGGTCAAGTATTACATTGGTCAAACTGGACGTAACATCGAGAGACGCATGGATGTTCGAGATTCAGCAGTTGGCAGTCGCAGAGCATTGCCACAAAAGGGACACACCATAGAGTTAATTAGTTAAAAATTATTTGCAAAGGGTGACAAGAGAGGCGATAGAGGTCCATCGACACTGGAACAATACGAATAGATAAGACAGCTGGGAACTTAGCCGCACATAGAAAGTGAACTCGACGAAACCTTCTCCACCCGGATTTGAAAAAAAAACAATTAATTATTAATAATTTCTTCATATACACTTTGAATCGTCATTTGCAACGTCATACACTTTTTCAAAAGATGCATATAGTGAAAGTCTCTAGGTTTAGTGATAGTGTTAGTTCTAGTTTCAGTTGAAAATATTGGAAGTTTGTAAAGACATTTCCACTATGTATCACTAGTGTGTTAGGTGAAGGACATACACACAGTAATGTCAACAAAATTTGAATTTGAGTATCTTCACATTAAATTTGAAATTTAATGTAATTTTAACTTATTTTAATTAATTGCCTATGATAAATATTATTTACATGCAAAAGTATGTTTTTTGCAGATTATTAACACTGCGAAGAGTGGAGCCGATCCAGATACAATGTATAAACCAACTGTTTATTGGTTTCCATTACTGAGGTCTGGATACTTTTACAACTGCTAGAAGTAATAAGTCACGTATTAACAGTACTTGTCTTACTACGGCATTATATTTCTCTTATTTTGATAGCTTGATGATGGTCATGATCTTGAATTTGTCTAGAATTTTTAAAAAGCCCATAAAGTTACTATTTCCTTTTGTAATTGCAAGAAGAATTAGATTGATAATCAGTATTTTACTTAAAAGCTAGTTAAAAGCTTGTTCAGCTGGCTGTTGACCTACATGATCATAATAAATCAGTCTGGTACTTGAAGAAAAATGTACCTGTAGGCACACATAGTGAATACAAAAATATTTTCAGAAAATGTGTTCAGAAAATGATATTTTAATGGACAAAAGTACAATTAATTCCCCGGACGATGTAAATAATGATGTAAACACACAAATCGGGATGTGTTATTATTAAATTTTATTGAAAAGTAGAGAGAGCTGTCTCAGTTATGAAATAAGTATAAAAACATAACGCATAAGACACGGAAATTGTTGATTACGACAAATTTGAAGAGCTATAAGTTACTCTCTAGTCGTTTATGGCAACATTTCTGAATGCTTAAGTACTAAATGCCAAAACAAAACTGAAACATAAACAACTAATTTGGCCGGAAAAATTCATAAACGATGTATTACTTGAAGGCGAGCTCGTTTTGCAATGACATAGCAATTCTGTGTCTATTAATCATACATATCAGTACCAATATCAGTATTATTCAACAACACCGCCATCAGCACCTCCACAGCTGTCAACAGTATGCATCACTAATGACAGAAGATTCTCACAGGAATATTAATGATTTCTATTCAAACTGACTTCTATTTACTTGTATATTGTATGTATAGGTGTATTCAACGTTGCGAACCTCTGCCGGCCAAATGTAGGTAGAATCAATGGAAAAAATCGCTAGGTATTGTAATAAATCGGTAGATTTCAGTATAAAGTCAGAAATTGTTGTTTGATGAAGGTTTTCAAATGAATTTATATATAATATCTAACTACTTTAATATACAGGATGCCCATTATGTAAGGAATATACCATATATCTTGGTAGGTATCAACATTATAAAAAATATTTTATACAAAAGTTGTTTAATATTTTATGTGCCATAATAAGACTGCATTCAATTGTTTTTAACAATGTACCCTTTCGTTAGGCTCATTTGATAGAGATTACATTTCTCTTTACGATGACGTAAAATTCCCTTAAATTCCCCGTAAAAACCCTTGCATCAGAAAATTTTTGAAAAAAATATAGAAATTGTTTATTAATAAAAATTATTCAACAACATTAGATATGCAAGATCATCAAGTACCTCGAATTATTACAGTAAATTAAATTTACATACAAAATAAAACAAATAAACGAAAAATTAGTGTACATCTGTAATAATTCGAGGTACTTCGAGGTACTTGACGATCTCGGATATCTAGATTACTGTTATTAGTTAAATTTTCTTAATAAACTATTTTTATATTTTTTTCAAACATTTTCTGATATAAGGGTACTAAAATTTTACGTCATCGAAAAGAGAAAAAAAATCTCTATCAAATGAGCCCAACGAAAGGGTACATCGTCATTTAAAAACTTCAAGTGTTATTCGTTGCGCATTTGTTTTCTGAAATAAAAACAATTGAATGCTGTCTTATTATAGCAAATAAAATATTAAACAACTTTTGTATAAGATGTTTTTTTATAAAGTTGATACCTACCGAGATACATACTATATTCCATACATAATGGGCACACTGTATAATAAATACTTTTGTCCACGACTATCTTATAATATATACCTTATGAATGAGTTTTCTAAAATAAAATGGTAGTCATTTTTCTCGGAGTGAATAATAGCGGTGAATAATAATCATTATTCACGGGTAGCCATCTTGACCAGACTAATAATAATTATTTGAAACGTTAAAAGTTCAAAAAACGTCAATTTAATTCAATTTTTTAGGAGTTTCTAAATGTTTGACATTAAAAAAACCTAAACAAATTCCTTTTTTCGTATGATTTAAGCATAAATTAATTAATTTTC